TTGCAGCAAACACACATTTCTTTTAATAAAAATATTTGAATATATTATAAAATGAATGTATATTAGGTAAGCACAGACAATGCATAACATAAAAAGGACAAAACCACTAATCACTGCTTTGTGCAAGCAGGGGCTGTTCCTATCATGATGGCTGGCATGGGAGTTTGCTAACCCAGGGTTAGGGAGCCAGGGCATCCACTTTCAGAGATGTTAGCAGAAGGGTCCCTAGGCCACAGACGAAATGCCAAAAGCAAATAACAGCAAAAGACAGAGGACTCTTCTCCAGCCCTGGGTGCAGGGCCAGCCACTGGGCAGAGCATCCTAAGAATACCCAACAATCAACTTTGTCACTGGATAGCCTGCAGGAAGCCTAGAGCTAGTTGTAAGACCAGATCCACAGGTGTGATGGCTTTGTCCATTGTGGGCTTCATTGTAGTAAGAATTTTGGAAATTTGTTTTTTAAAAAAACACAGAAATCTTATAAGAATATGTCTTCATTTTATTCCCAGGTGTGGAGATGTGGGGCTGTTCACAGCAGGTGACTATAACTCGTGCTCTGGCAGAGGCATGGTTTGCCAGCGGCAGATAGTTTCTGTGATTGTGTACATTTGGAATTCTGGAAACTTTTCGGAGGGTATATAAATGCTAAGAGCTCCCAAAAGGTGAGGTTGGTGGTTATTGGTCATTCAGAGATGTCAGATGTGGTTTGTTAGTAGTCATGCTCAAAGAAGAAACAAGAAAAGAAAGTAGATTCAAGGATCTCTCTGTCTCTCTCTTCTCTATCCTTCTTTCTCTTCTATCTAGTAATAGAGGGTGAAACTGGAAGGGTGGGACAAAGAGTGGGAAAAGACAAACCCCAAAAAGAGCAAAGACCAGCTACATAGACGAAACAAGAAAGAAATTAGATCTGTGTCCCTGTGTCTCTCTGTGTCTGTGTCTGTCTGTCTGTCTGTCTGTCTGTCTGTCTCTGTGTGTGTGTGTGTGTGTGTGTTTGTGTGTGTATCTGTCTCTCTCTCTCCCCCTCTCTCTCTTTCTCTCTCTCTCTCTCTCTCTGTGTGTGTGTGTGTGTGTGTTTGTGTGTGTATCTCTCTCTCTCTCTCTCTCTCTCTCTCTCTCTCTCTCTCTCTCTCTTTCTCTCTCTCCCTCTCTCTGTGTGTGTGTGTGTGTGTATCTGTCTCTGTCTCTCCCCTCTACCCTTTCTCTCCTATCTAGTGATAGGATGTGAAATGGGGGAGGACACAAAGGACAGGAAAAAAGAAGAACCCACAAAGTAGCTAAGATCAGCCACACTTCACCCGTTTGACAAGGACATCCTTGTCTGCTCTGAGGCCATCATCTGGTTTGGTCAGGAAGCAAAGCTTCATGGGAGTTTCGTAGCAGTTGGCAGACTCTTCTAAGAAGCTGGACCCACATACAGGATGAATAAAGAATCCAGGGACCAAGGGGTTAAGTAACCTCACTAGGGACACATACTTTAGACATAAACACAGTCCCTAAGGCTATCCCACCCTGCCACCCTTGGCAGCCATGGGAGAATGTGGCTGTGACCCTAGGAGTCTGGCTTGTTCCCAACCACTGCTCAGGTCACTATCCAATCCTCTTATGACTCCCAGATAGCAGCACAGCCCTCATCCCAACCAACTCACTACAGAGGTGCTTTCTGGTGCATGCATGAGTGAGTGCATGTGTGCGTGCATGCGTGTGCATGTGTGCGCCAGAGGACAACATCTGGTGTCATTCTTCTGGCTCTATGTACCTTGTATCTGAGAAATGGTCTCTTATTGGCATGGAACTTTCCCAACAGGCTACGGTGGCTGGCCAGCAAGCCCCTAGGGTCTGTCTGTCTCCACCTCCGCAGTTCTGGAATTACAGGCATTCACTACCATGTCTGGCTGTTCCAGCTCCCCATCATGGGTTCTAGAGATCAAACTCATGTCCTCCTGCTCACAAGGCAAGCACTTTACCAACCAAGCCATCTCCTCAGCCCTACTACTGCACAAGTTGAACACAAGCATAGGTGACTGGCTTGATCTAGTTAGAGCCACTCCTACAGATGCCCCTCTGAGTGGGCTGGGAGGACCCAGAAGACAAGTAGTAGCATCCCACTGGGGTGGGATGTACAATCAGGTGCTACCTTGGTGCTGAAGGAAAAGCCCTACTCCTCACCCACCCACCCACACAGTTCATCCCAGATCCTAATATAGGCCAGTCAAGGTGATGTTTTTTTGTTTAGTACTGGTACTCCCAACTACTCTAACCTACCTCAGCACCACAAATGGGTGGCATCTGCCATTGTCTACCATCCTGGTCCCCTTACCTTTCCTCTCCAGCCAGGCTCTGTTTCACAGCCCACAGTGTTATGGCCAGATCTGACCATTGTCCACCAAGGTTTAGACTTCTGCATAAAGCCCACTTATAGACTATAGCTTACAGCCTAGATCTGACCCCCCCAGACCATCTCCAGCTTCCTCCCCTACAAGACGCCTGGAAATTAGGGACATAGTCCCTGGGTCATGTCTTAGGAGTATAAATCAGGAGCCCACATGCCAGGCTCTGTACTCCAGCTTTCCATTAGTTAAGGGTTCCAGCCACAGCATCCCTGTGGCTTGAGCTACCAGGGCTTATCCCTTCTCAGGTCTTTTAGGGCAACTCCCAGCAAGGGAAACAAGGCAGAGGACTGGGTCAGGGGTGGCTTCAATAACTTAAGCCTCTTCTAGGAGCCCTATTCCTGGGGAAATGGAGAGATTTAGGAGGGGAGAGGGAGGGAAGCTTACAGGCATTGCAGCTCCAGCCTGGATGAATCCAGACAGGCTGAGGCTGCAGGGACCTCACAGCAAGGGTAGCAACAAGGCAGACAGAAGCCCCTTCCTGCCCCACTACATCCTCACGATGCTCCAAGTCATGCCTGCACAGGTGCCACCAAACACCCACAGGAAGCCAGACGTACCCGGGTTTTGTAGATGAGGTTGCTGAATGATTCGCCTAAAACCAGGGCCCTGAATCCACATTCCCACCATACACATCACCACTTTCCTGCCACCCAGGTCAAGGCATAAAGAGGAGGAGGGGCAGTGGCAGGTGGGAGCAGAGTGGACAGTCTGGGCAGTCTGCCACTCTGCTTTCCCCACAACCCTCGAGAGTTCAGAATCTAATATAATTGACTGCGAGGTGACAAATTTCTGCTTTGAGCACTAGCATCCTCCCTCATTGGACTGCTGGGTCTGCAGGCATGGGTCCCTATGCAGTAAAGCCTCACTCAGAATCAGCACCAGGCTTACACACTTAGATCTACCCCAAAGTACAAAAGTGGGGTGATTACGTAGTTAGAGGATGGGATAGACAGGAATGAGGGAGCTGAAAGGAACCCCAGGACATGTGAGACCATCTGCTCTATCTGAGGTCTAGAAAGGAACAGTGACCGACCCAAGATCACCAGGAAGATGAGGAGAGCTGGCAGTCTTGACTCCTCCATTTGTGCTCACCGTCTCTGTAAGTTCTTCATCCATGCTATCTGTGCTGGCACAGCAGAGGCCTGGGGCTCTGCGGATATCTCCCATTTACAGGAGGGACGATGGTAGAGAACTCACAGCACATCCTGGGCTCCCACATCTCGTGGCACTGGCTTGCCCCAGAGAGCCAGTGATGCTCTACAGCTCCCCACCTCAACAGGGATTCCAGGCACCCATTTTGGAAGCTGTACCTCCTCCCAGACCCTAGACCTTTTAGGAGGCATCTCCAGGGTTTGCAAGTGGGTCAATACCAACCAGCCTGACAGGAGCTCAGGTGACAGGGACAAAGACTCCAGCACAAGAGCACTCTGTCTTTTCTATGGCATAAGGCAAATGTACCACACATGACCACCAAAGAAAGGGAGGGAGAGAGAGGGAAGACAGAAGTGAGCCCCTGGCCTCAGGAGTGGAAAGAATGTTTCAAAGCAATACAAAGTTGTATGTTTTCAGCAAGCCTGTAGCCAGCCCGTGCATCCATGGTTTCAACCACCTTCAGAAATGTCAATTCTGGAGAGTCTTCAAGAGCCTTAGCATAAGTCTTCACTCTCAATTCTATCTCAAGAAGAGGAAGGTGGGAAGATGGCCTATGTGCTTTTCTGCAACCACAGACTTCTGGGAGGTGGAAGCTGAACCCTACCAAGGATTTGACCAGTACAGAGAGAAGACCACAGGGGAGCAGCCTGGCACTGTCCTGCAGACCCCTGAACTATAGCTTCCCTAGAAGGGGTAAAGGACCCTGAGAAAGACCTGGAGACTTGTCACCTAGGTTTCTTGCCCTGGAGTCATATAAACAGAGCTATGTGTACCCGTGTGACACTGAATGTGAACCTGCTTTCCGGATTTTGGTGTTTGGTTGGGAAAACACAGCTGCTTATTGGCATGTCCCTCATGCCCTCACTATTTAAGATGGTTCCAACAACGTGGGAAAGCAGCAACAGAGGTTCCACCACCTGTTAACCATGACCTTGGGTGAGAAATAAACTTTTCTAAGCCTCAGATTCCTCATCAGTCAAATGGAACCTCCAACTCCTTCACACACAGGCTGGACAGAATGGATGTCAGCAGTAGCCCAGAGCAAGCATGCAGCAACAACCTGGTGGGAAGCAAGCCTCAACACATGAAACCAAACATCTCAGCTCCAGGCAAGAAAGGATGAATGGAGCCAGGTTTCCAGTCTCTTCGGACAAACTTTCTCTCCCAGTACCCCTTCCCTCAGGCAGGCCATCCTTGGAAGGGAGCAGAGCCTCTCTTCTGTCCATGGATTCCTCTGTCTCTCGCCTAGAACCCCACTGCCCATCTCAGGCTCTTGAGGGTGGGTCGCAATGGGATGGGTGATGCTGTACAGGCACATGTATAGATAGGTCAGCGCACCTGATGCAAGGTGGCCAAGGCAGGCTGCAGTAGGTACTCGAGGTGGGCGCAGAGCCCGGACTTCCCAGCCTGTGGTCGCCTGCTCTCACACCGTGACCTGCACACCCTCTTGGTCCTTACCTTGAACCATGGGAACCACGCTGCCCCGACTGGCGGAGGACTTGGACACACGTGACGAGGCGGGCGTCCCTCTGTCCCGGGCACAGCGAGTAGCGACAAATGCAGCTCAGGACAAGGCCGGTGGTGCCTGCTGGGGCAGGGCTGGCAAGGTGAGTGCCAAGAGACTCCTGGAGGCCCCAAAGGAAGCAAGTGCGTGGCCAGGCGAGACTCCCTGCCAGCTGCGCGCTGCGGCCTCGGCTCTGGACGCCCAGCTGCCTCTCTGCGAGCGGCACGCGCGACTCCAGCCCAGTCCCGGGCGCGGGGCGCGCGCTGGAGCGGAGGGCGCGCGTGCACTAGCCTGCTGAGGAGTGCGCGCTGCGGCCCTGCGCGCGCCGTCGGCGGCGGCTGCGGGTAGCAGGCGAGGAACTGTCCCTGGTGCTGACGCTGGTCTGCGCCCACCCCCCCACCCCCCCACCCCCCCCCCGCGCGGCTGAGCTCACATGCCAGGTCTAGGAACCCACATTCCTGTGCGCGCCCTGCGCCCTGCGGTGTTCTCCCTGATCTCCACCAGCCTGTTTCTTTCTCTTTGAGCTTTGGTCTCTGTGGTGATGGAATTCACCTGAGTGTGGAAAGCACAACCTTGGAGTAGGTCCCTGGTCCCTCTTGTTTCTGGGGTGACTGACAGCAGGGCCTTTATGACTGATCTGAAGATGAAAGGCAAAGATGTCCACAGGCATAGCACACCCTAAGTACTTGATAAATGCTCGCCTCCGCTCTTTTCTGCTTTTATTCTCTGGGTCAGTCCAGTGTAGTACTGGAGGGCAATGGATAGTCTACACTGGGCTGGGGTGACTGGGGCCTGTGGCTGACTCAGGTTTCTAGCCACTGGAAAGGAAGAAGTCTGCTGCTTTACCCCCAAATACAGCATTAGGTCAGTGGTTGAAAGTTAAAGCAAGTCAGATTTGAACTGGAAATGAAGAAGAATTTTCTGGCCTTTCCTCTTGAGAAATATGTCCTCCAGATAAGCCCCATCCCTGAAGATATTCTGGAACAGGCTAAGATATTCCGGAGTGGGCTGTGACTGCAGACCCTAACCTAAGGGGAGTAGGTATTGAATGGAGTTTTGAGTTAGAATACACCACCCTCTGAGAAATCTTCCTGGACCACTAAGGGTGCTGTATGGATGCTTGATTGTGCCAGTGATGACTTGATGCTCTGTAAGAAGCTCTGCCCTGTGAGAAGGGCGTATGTCAGTCCATACTGAGGGGCTATGGAGCTGGTGGAATTTCCTTCCCCTTTGCCCACTGTCTGGGCAGAGAAGGACCAGGAACTCATTCCAAGACATGCCACAGGGCCAAAGAGCAGGTGCACACCTACACACACACACACACACACACACACACACACACTCTCTCTCTCTCTCTCTCTCTCTCTCTGCCTGCTTCTCTGCTGGTCCTTCCTATGGGTCCTCACTGAGCTCCTCAGCGATGATCATATCTTTGGTGCTCCAGAGTTTCCTTATAACAATTTGGGGACATCCTTCATCCCACTTAACTACCAGGAAGAGCTGACCCCGCCTTTAAGTATCTCTACTCCTTTCGAGATGGGTAATTAATTGTCACCTGCCTCATTTCTCCAGGGACTGGTGGCTATGTTTGGTTCATTAATTAACTGTACTCAGAGCCTGCTTGAAGCAGGCCTTATCGCACAGTAAACATCACTTGTTATGTGCTCAACACATTCCAGATGCAGTGCTAAACACTGCACACATTGCCTCATTTTGCCAGCTCAGCAAGGGCCAGGGAGAGCCAGCCAGAGCCTGTCTTGCAGGTGAGAACAAACGACAGGGTCCTTGGCAGCAGAGCAGAGCTTGGGCCTGATGACTCCCAAGATCTCCCACACTCACCATCGGCCCACTCAGAGACGGGACAATGGGCTCCATACAGACGATCCTATATAAGGTGGGTCAGACAGCCCTGGAGAGCTCCAAGAGGAGACCATAGGCCGGCTAGCCAATCAACTCCTGCAACCAGTTCCACTCAGCCCCAGTCAGGACTACTTGCCTTTAGGTGATTGTCTCAGATCTTTAGGTGCTGTCAAATGTGTGCCAAAATTTTTCATAAGAAGCCTCAAACCCTGCCTTTGCCCACCAGCTTATTCACACTTCCACTTCATCACATATCCACATCTGCTCCAAGACAGTGAGTCTGGTAGCCATGGTCTGAGCAGCCAAGCACTCCAAAAGTGGCTTGGCCTTTGACTCTGGGCTCCAAGTTACTACTCCTTCCTGTGTGGAGCAGAGAGATGCTTTCCCAGTACTTGTGATGGTGTGATCTTATTTATTTAGAGCTATTTGTCTCGTTCAAACTGTGACTGGCTTCAGTGACTCACAGCAGTAGACACCTTGTGTGTGTGCACACGTGTGTACCAGTGTGCTTGCATGTAGAGGTCAGAAGTCAACATTGGCTGTCTTCTTCTGTCACTCTCCTGGAAATTTCTGGTTTTGGCTAAACTGGCTGGCTAGCAAGTATTCAGGATCCTCTCACCTCTGCTGTCTCCTAAAGGTGGAGTTACAGACACATCTCACCACACCCAGCCCTCAGTGGATGCTGGGAATCAAGACTTAGATCCTTGCGCTTCTGCAAGTGCATTATCCGCTGAGCCATCCCTCCAGCCTTTCCTTACCTTCACTTCAAAACAATTATAGAAGGATGATGTGACTTCCCAAAGCCACACAGCTGACAAAGAAATGCACAGAGAAGATTTCATTTGGATATCGATACAGTGGTCACCACTCAGCCTGCTTCTTGTATATGAAAGCATGCCTTGATTTTATTTTTTAAACTCATTTGTAAAAATCAGAAAAGGGAGGAATAAAGAGGAGGCTCTCAGCTGACTTCATAGAAACAACGTATCATCAGGTTTCCTGAAACAGCAAGTTCTAGTACAAACAAAAGAAGGCTAGCCTCACTCGGTTTTCCAGGCTGGGTGGCAGCAGGCTATGAGGCAGGACTAGCCATTCCTCTTCAGCAGGCTTTCCAGTTGCACGGCAACTTCCGTGCTGTCCCCAGCATCTTTTTACAACATACAGTTTAGTGGATGTAACTCAGAGCCAACAGATGGTGGAGGTGTTGAAAACTGTCCAACACACAGCAACGTGTAGGGCAGTTTGCAAGGCTTGCTTTCTGGTCTGGGCAAATGTGGCTTTTCTAAGAGCAGTCTTTTATGCTATGAAAATGGGACCTTTGAATGTGATTATAGGTGAGCAACTTCGGGGATGAGGGTTGATAACCCTCATCAGAAGCAGAGACACCAACTTCTCTCCAGTATTCTGCAAATATCCATGGAGAGGATGCACTTTCCGGTGAAACGTGGAAGAAAAAAGTGACCATGGGACACTGTGTGTACCCAGCTCTACTTACACACCATTGTGGGATAATACCTTCGATTAACCCAATGACAAGATCGAGAATCACTGAAGAGACAAACTTGTGTGTCTGTGAAGGAGTTTGTAGATTGGGTTATCTGAGATTGGGAAACACACTCTGAGTATGAGAATAGCATCCTGTGTGTCGGGATCCTGGGCTGAATAAGAAGAAGATGTGCGCTGGATACCAGCATTCATCCCTCTCTACTTCCTGACCATAGATGCAATGTGACCAGCTGGCTCGAGTGTCTCCACCTTGCCTTCTCCACCAGGGTGGGACAGACCCTCAAACTGTGAGCTCACATAAACACTTCCATCTGTAAGCTGCCTTTGGTGCCTGGTCACTGTAAAATGGGCACCCACTCAGCTTCTGCTCATGACTGAGAGTGCCATTGTGCAGACCAGAAGGAACAAAGCTCTTCTGAAGGAAGGAAGCTTCTGAGGAGCCAGGTCCAGAAACAATGTCCAAGTCTCTTTCGGGGAATCTTCAAGAAGGAGCAAGCTTAAGACTCCAGACATACTGTAGTAAAGGCTGGTGGGGACCCTTTATGTCCAGGACACCTAGGAGATTTTGGCAGAGGTGGTGTTGGCTGGTTGGAGGGGATAAACATTTCTATTGTTGAACATTGCCTCAGACTGGAGACAATGAGGGTTTCAGAAGTTGACCGAGCATATCAGGTGGCAGAATCACACATCTACCCAACTCCAAGTGATCTGCTCAGATCAAGTCCATGCAGAGAATGAATGAATGAATGAAAAATAACCAGAGATTTGGAGCAGTAGTTATTTTGTGATGTTTGAGGCAGAGTTACCCTCCTGTCTCAGATCAAGGCCTGCTAGATTGCACAACTTTGAGAGATGGTCAAGAAAATTAAAATGTAAAGAGACCAAAATAGGCAAGTGTGCCAGAGAGGGGCACTGTGGGCAGGTGGGGTGCACATAGGCATGTGACGCCCAAGGAGGTGGGGTGCATCTGCTGCTGTAGTTCCCAGCAGAAGCTGCATCTTGGGAGGCACCCGCGGTGGCTTTTAATTGCTGCCACATCCTAAAACATTATGACAGTGAGCTCAACGTACTCCTCCATGAGCGAGCATGAGGGATGATAGCTTAGGAGGTGACACGCAGGGATCAGCCCGGTCTCTAGGGATTCCTCATGTGAGTCACAGGCTGGAAAATCTTGATGTGGGTGTGGCAGGGGAAGCCAACTTCAGGGGATTTATTGTTCCCAGTCCTTCATTGGCTCTCTGATGCTTCACTCCAGAGAAACCTTAACCAGGAAGGTCCTGATCAGTCCTTTACTTCCCCCAGACATTGGCTCCACCAATCCTGATGGAGCACTTGTTCACTCATTCATTCATTCACCACACACTCTGGATGTGAAGAGACCAGAATAAGAACCCCTACATTCTGGAAGCTCTGAGCTGAGTAAAACTCAAAGGGATGAGGTCCTGACAGGCTGAGGTCCTTTAAGTAGGAAGTGTTTAGTGACAGCTGAGCATCTCTCCTGTGCTGTTCTGGCTCTGAACTATGCTGACAATGGTGAGTGGAAAGCTAGGCTTTCCTTTGACAATCTCACAGCAAGGAACCTTCACAACAGCAAGGTCCACTGTCTCTGAAGTCCTTGCTGGCAATATCCTAAGCCCAGAGTGGTACCTTCAGTCTATCGTGCTAAATAATAATAATAATCAGCCATGAAAATGAGAGAGTGGCTGAATTATGTAAACCCCAATTAGAGCACCCCTGTACCTTCTTGCTTCTGTTAGCACTGTCTTGTGAGGAGGTGTACACTGAGGTTAATGAAAGCGGGATACAGAATCCTTCCTGTGATTGACACATGCAGATCTGGTGACTTGACAATAGAATGACAAGACGAGAGCTCTTGCTCTCCAGGGAAAGACAAGGTCGTCCTCGTAGGATGGAGGCACCATGGAGAGCACCCAAGGCAGCACGGAGAGCACCCAAGGCAGCACGGAGAGCACCCAAGGCAGCTCTGCCCCCTAGAACCTGCCCCTCCCCCACCCAAGACCCCTCTTGGGCACAGAGAATGAAAACTTTGACTTATTCCTTGTTCTCCTGTCAGAATCAATCACTGCTACCAGTCTGACACCTGCTGACTATCTGGATTAGGGTGAGAGGAGGCAACATGTGTAGGAGGAGGAGGAAAGGGAGGGGGAGGAAGAAGAGGAGGGGTGGGGAAGAAGGAGGGAGAAGACGAGGAGGAGGAGGAGAAAGAGGAGGAGAGGAACAGTAGGATGGAACTGGGGAACAGGAAGAAACATGGCAGATGAAGCATGAGAAATGAAGGCAAGGAGAACCCCAAATCCCAGCTCTCTGTCTGGGGTTATGGAATGAAAGAGTGCAGATGTGAATTGTTAAGCTCTGGCTTTAGGGGTTGTCACCTTCCTCCATCCAGGTGGCCCAGGGCAGCAAGAGGGAAATCTCTGTGCCCTAAGCAGAAATACAAGCATAGCCCACCGTGACCCACCATAAAGCAGGAGGACAAGCGGCATGCCCAGTCTCCCTCTTTCATCTCTCTCTCCCAGTGTCTGTGAGTCTCATGACACTCCAGCGCTTCCCGGCTTGTCATTTCCACCCTCTGCCTTGGATGGTAGTGCAGTGAGGACACCTCTGCCACCATTTGCCTGACACACCATAAACCTTTACAAGAGACTTGCCTGAGGCTCTATGGTGTCATGTGCACTGTCTACAACAAGCACCTCTGGTTCTGGGTCTCAGCCATCCACACAAGTGGTGGGTGGCAGAGCTTCCCCTGGGCACACTGAGGTCACCAGCCTTGGAGATGTTTCATGTGGGATTGGCAAGGGACAGGTGACTGGCTGAGCGTTGAGGTAGCCGGCAGCCTGGCAGTGCCAGCTAACAGATTTAGCTGTCTCCACTTTCTCAGGACTGGAATTACAAATGTGTGACCACTGTGTGTGGCTCTTGTGTGGTGGCTGGTGCTCAAATTCGCCAGGTCCTCATGTTTCTTCAGTACTCACTCTATCCACAGAGGCTTCTCCCCAGCCCCCACGCTGCTCCTTCTAAAGCTGGCTTTTTTTTTTACAATTGTTGGCTTTGTTCTATTTGGGCTGGATGTCTCATGCTAAGGGGCCAACTCACTCACACATTCAGTGAGTGCCTACTATGTGCATGTACACTACTGGGTGCTGGGAAGCAGACTAAGCAGGATGCTTTGCCTTGCTCCCTCTAAGCTCATGGCTAGACCTGTAGCAGCCGTCAGGGCGAGTCTTCAAGTAGCTGCAGGACAAAGCCCCTGCCCGAGTCAGGTATTGGGTGACTCAGACTTGCAGTGCATATCTTTCTTAGTAGGGCCTCTCCACTTGGTCCTATTTTGGACCTCAGTTTCCCCACATGCAGCACTGAACTGCAATCATCTTTCTGGGTTGGGGGTGGAGTGGCCCTCAGGTTTGCTGGCTCAACTAGGCTTAACCAACACAGGCGCTCCACAGGCCAAGCAGGCATCCCTGTTTTCCCTTCTGGGATCTGCTTTCGGCTGCCAGTGATGGCTCTGGAGCCTCAGTGGTGAAGAGTGACGTGCTGCAGGTGGGGAAAAGACAGCCCCAGGCAAATGGCCTTGCTGGCTCTCACAAAAGTTAGGAGGGCAGAAGACTCAGGCTGGCCTTCTCTGGCCTTGGTTTCCTCACTACTCTCCCTGTGTGCTTTGAACGCTCAGAGGCTGTCCCTCCTCCCCTGGGAGAAGGAAGGCTTTGCTTTCTTTCCCTTGGCAACGCTCTGGTTCCTGGGAGGCTGGGGCTGGGGAGCTGCAAACAGCCAAGCCCTGGAACACCTGCTTGCAGAGCCCTGAATCATCAGCATGCAGATCCCAGGAACATCAACACAAAGGACACTAGTCCAGATGTAGATTTACTGCTTCCTCTTTCCCACCCTAGGAAAATCCATCAGAAAGGCTCAGCCCTACCCTGGCCCTCCCTCCATCCTTCCCACTACTGGTCAGCATCCCCTGGACATAGCATCAGCACCTTATAAAGGTGTGGGTCTGGTCCATGAGTGAGCCTCTGTCAGTGCTTCCTACCCTAATTCTCCTGGCCAGGGGGGGACATATGGCCCTGCCCAGGACAGCACCTTTCCTTGCCTTTTCCAGTCTCTTCTGTTTTTCTTTTGTTGTAATGAGAGGCTTGGGGTAAATGCAACACTGAAACCAACTGCACAGTGGCTTGTGTTTCACACTGCTACAGAGCAAGCTGTCTGCTGGCCTCAAGCCTTTCTTGTGTAGCCAGGACCCTCTGTAAATGGCCTTGGGAACTTGGGAAAAGATGGGCTTACTTGGGTTGAGTTTCCATTTCTCCTCAAAACCAGGCGTGGAGGACTGTACTCAGCTTCTTTATGGTGCTTGGTTTATGGATCCTGAGAATAGGGGGTGGGGCTGGGGGTCCTGAGAGTCGAGAGGTAGGGATCTCATGGAAAGGTGTCTGTGGGTTACCTGGATAATAAAGTGAAAATGATCACTGCAGCAGTGTGAATATGCTTGGTCCAGGGAATGGCACTATTAAGAGGTGTGGCCTTGTTGGAGTGGGTGTGGCCTTGCTGGAGGAAGTGTGTCACTGTGGGGGGTGGTCTTTGAGACCCTTCTCCTAGCTTCCTGGAACACAGTCTGCTCCTAGCTTCCTTTCCATGAAGCTGTAGAACTCTCAGCTCCTCCAGCACCATGTCTGCCTGCACTCTGCCATGCTTCCCACCGCAATGATAACGAACTGAACCTCTGAGAGTGTGAGCAAGCCCAGTTAAATGTTGTCCTTTACAAGAGTAGCCTTGGTCATGGTGTCTCTTCACAGCAATGGGAACCCTAGCTCAGTCACCTTTGTCCAGGTCCACTGTGGGCTTCACTGAGGCTGCTGTGACTTCCAGACTCCCTTATGACGTAAGAGGGAATAAAGGAGGGGCAGAGAATTCTCGCAGCCTCCTAGAGGGACCCTCTCTATTGAGTCCATCTCTCTCTTCTTTCCCCTCTTCCAGGGTGAAGCAGTTAGAGGAACATAGGTAAGCAAAGAAAGCTAAGGCAGGTTCCCTGATCTACCCCACAGAAGACTGTGAGAAGAAAGAGCAAGAAGACCCAGGGGTGGGTAACTAGATAGGTGGGTAACTAAGATGGGACCAGGACCCAGGGCCTTATAAAACACCCAAGTCAGCATCCAGCCTTCTGCCTCTCACATCCTGAGCAAATGGGTTGTTACTATCCTTTTCTTTGCTGCTTGGCTGTCTGTCTTCCCTAGTATCTGTTTGATTATTTGTTTGTGTCAGGGGAAAGAACTTAGCAGTTCCTTAAAGAGTATTCATCACCTCCATTCCAGGTGGCTCTGGTGACACTCCATTTCCCTCCCTCACCAAAATGTACACTTGGCATTTTTGCTCACCTCTGCCACTTGCTACCTGGACCTCTGCTCATCCACAGCCTTTTCATTAAAGTCTGGCAACCCAACTCTGAGTGACTGGCCATCTCCTCCACAGAGCGCCCCCTCCTGGCCTCTGGTACGACCATCCTTCTGCACCTTGTTAGGACCCTAGTGACACTAGGAATCCTTCTCACACCTTTTCTGCCCAGGGTTTCCACTTCGTGTCTTATCTCCATATTGACCCCAGACGCTGTTTATACATTCTGAATGTGAAGCTTTCCAGTTAGGGATGGAGTGCTTCTTTACTGCTTCTTCCTCCTCATCTGCCCAGAACAGCTGTGGCTGAACGTCTGACAGCCTTCGTGGACTCTTTATCTTTCTTTAAAAATTTAAATCACATTTATTCATTTATCTTGTGTAAATATGGTTCATGTGTGGAGGTCAGAGGACAACTCATGGAAGTTGGTTCTTTCCTTCTAACATGTGGGTTCTAGAATGAAACTCAAGTCAGCAAGCTTGGCAGCTTATAGTTGCTGAATCGTTTTGCTGGCCTGATAGCTTTCAACTCATCGAAGATCTTGAGGTGCATGCAAAGCAGAAGTTTAACCTTTCTCCTTTGTCCTGCATGCATAGGAGCTGGCTGTGTTCTTCTACTGTGGCAGCAGGATCTGTTCTTGCACCCCAGGCTATCTGCTTCCTGGATAATGATAATATGTTACCTCAGCTCTGCAGGGCAGTCACATCAAAGGCAGACACTCCCAAGCCAGAGACTGTTTTTTCCCCCTGTCATTTCTCCTTAGATCTCAGCTGAATGACTTCTTAGAAATCAACCTGTGAGATTTAGTCCTTTGGAACTTTAATTAAGATTACGTTCAATTCTCGATTAGGTAGAAGAAACTTGCAAAGAGGATACAAGGGTCAGAGGCTCAAAGGAACTAGCTTGGGTTCTGTCCGTCTCCCTCGCTGCGTGATCTTGTACAAGTAAATTAATATATCTGTGCCACAGCTCCTTTATCTATAAAATGGGTTAATAATATATAGATTCTTCTTGTAGGTCTGGCACAGAAAAGCCAATAGGCTAAAGCTATCTCCATGTATACTGAATCAATCAAAGTCTTTTTAAAGATAAGGTATTGTTCTGCTTACTATTAGAAAAGGAAGAAAATGGAGCCTAGAAAGCCACAATAGACCCCTGATTACAAAGTGTATACATTTCAGGGATGTGCAGGTGTTCAAGACTTCTCTTGGGGTCACTCTAGAGGCTAACTGTCATGCCTGTGCCAGCCCTGAACAGAGAGCGGCCACTCTATGCATTTAGGTGCCTTTTGTCATCTGTGAGTAAGACTCCACAGTGGTCTTCACACTCACTCTCAAGGGTCTTAGGAAGGTGGTGGGGTCTCAAACTCAAGCTGCCTGAGAGCCAGAGTCCTTCATCCGCTCTTCAAGGATGCTGAGGAAGCAGTTCGTCAAGGTTGTCACTTTCTGGTGGTGCAAAAGGCCAGCAGTGAAAGGCTATACAGCCGGAAGCAAACATGAAAACAAGCTGAGCTGTGCATCCTCACCCCACAGCTTTCCAGAGACAGGAGGATGATAGACCTGAAAAGACAGAGGCAGAAACAAAAGTCACAAATATCGACCCAGAAGAGATCCAGCTCTGAAGTGCGGAAAATTCCACTTGATAAATTTGAATGAATGTACTGAAGATTTACTAGGATAAATTATAAGTTCAGCGGGATGGCAGATACAAGATAAACACTTTTTAAAGATGAATGCTTTCGGCTGTTGAGATGATTCAGGCTGCCAGGCCTGATGTCCTGAGTTTGATACCCAGGACTTACACGATGAAAGGAGAAAATTAAGTCCTGCAAATTGTCCTCCACTTGCTACACATAAGCCACGGCAGTCACCACTCTCACGTAAGTAAACACAAAAATAAACTGATACATAAAATTTAAAATGCAATTAGGGTTTTATGCCAATTTCCATAACCCAGTAATATGGGACTTTGAAAAGCAATTGCATATCAGAAATCTAAATGAGGTTTGCCTGACTCTGTGATGCAGATACGTCATTAGAGATGTATGCATCATCTGGAAGCCAGTGAGCAGAAGAGCGTCTGTAACATGGCCCACTGTATTTTTCTAACAATTAAAGCTTTTCAAAAAAACAAAGAAAGCAACAGACTCCACCTCCCGCTGTTGTAAGACTCCTTAGGCTTGACACTCTATCCCCCTGGGTTTTTACTATCCCTTCGTTTTCTTTGTCCTTGGCTAGATCTTTTGTGTTTGTCCTTTTGTTTCATCAGAATACACCACACAGTGATTCTTTCAGAAAGGAGGGCATTGTAAATTAACTGAATCTGGTTTCTATTTCTTTCCAAAACTAGAAAGCTGGATTTCAGAGTTGCCAGGAAGACGCTGATATGGGTCTCTCCCCTGCCAGGCGTCTCCTCTTGTACCCAGACGGCAGGAATTTATTTATTGTTGTATAAAGTACATGTCTGTAGGAATGAGGAGGAGGAAGGTGCAAAGGTCAGAGGTCAATGTTAGAGCTCTTCAATCACTCTGTACCTTGATTTTTCTTAAAGATTTATTTCTTAAAGATTAATTTTAATTAAATATTAATTAAAAATATATATTAAATATAAATAAATATTATTTATTTATTACAAGTATCTATTAATTACTTTAAATTATGTGTATGTACCCGTGTCTACGTGTGGATAAGTACACATGAGTGCAGGTGTCAATGGAGGCCAGAGGCCTTTAATCCTCTGCAGCAATGAGCCAACTGACACAGGTGCTGGGAACCCAGCATGGGTCCCTGCGAAAAGCAGCAAGCCCATTTACCTGTTGAGCCACCTCCCCAACTCTAAACTTTGTTGGGCAATAGTGGGGGGTCCCGTGTCCACCCCGCCTAAGGGCTAGGGCCACTCGCTCGGGGAGGCAGAAGCACTGGAAGTTTGACTACACTCACCCCACACTGGAGCATAGCTCTGGGGGTGGAAGAGCGCAGTCTGAGATGGGTGGTGGTGGAGTTAGCTGGGGGAAGAGGTGTCAGTACCCGGGCCTGCAAAGCAGCCGGGGACCATCTGGTTCTCAAGCTCTTGGGCACCCAGGTGCTATTGGAAGCCGCAGAAGAGCTGGCTTGGCCCAAGGCCAATCCCAAGGGGGGGCCCAAGGGGAGAAGGGGAGATCACTTCAGCTGTACCCTGCAGGGATGAAAGTTCTTGGCTTGTCACCACAATGGCTGGAAACTCAGAGAGGTCTTCTGCGGGAGATTAGACGGTGACTCTGAAGGTAAAGGCCTTCTCCATTGTTCCCCACAGTGGATAAGAGAAACGGTCCATGTTTTTAAGGTGTTTATTCGTCTTTATTGTCATGGCGGAAAGTAGATAAGAAACAGTGCCCCCTTTTCTCAGGGCTGGTCTGAGGTTAAGTACCTTTTGCAGGGAGGAATGTCTGGGAAGGAAAGCTTAATTTGGCTAAGCTCTTCTGGTCTTTAGGTACTTCATTATTATGGAGATCTGTCTTGAGGCTCTGTGGCCTGTAGTCATGCCCTCTACCCGTGGAGGGGCTAGTGGGTGGTATGGAGGGCTGGAGCCTGGAGTCTTGGGGCATGCCGAAACGCCTACCATCCTGTGCAGAGGACCTGTCACCAGGGTTTCAAACCTAGCTCAACCAGAAATCAGGCTGCCTTTCACAGTCCTACAAATTTTCATCTCATTGTTTTGAGAAAGCCCCCTCCCTGAGCCTGGAGTCGGTCAGTCTGATGAGGTTGCCTGGCCAGGGGGCCCCAGGGATCTACTAAGTATGCCTCCTGATGTTAAGCTGGTAATCATTGTAGTACCTGCTGTTTGTGTGTTGATGTAGGTGCTGGGGATCAGACTCGGGACCTATGCTAGCATGGCAAGCACATTGCCAACATTCCATTCCCCCCACCCACTCTTCTTACTCCCTTGTAGCTTCTCTTGGGTTTTCTCTTTCTGGATATCAGACTCGTAGTCCTATTATTACCCAAGCATGAGCTCCTGTGGTGCAGGCCTGTTTTGTATGTTCTTCCCAGCAATGAGTTAATCAGCCCTGAAGACAGGATTGTCCTGTGACATGGAACAGTTGGCCATTTTTTCCATTCTTTGCCTTACCACTCCTCCTTTAGGGATGGCTGCCACCCGCATGAGAGCCTCTGGAGCTGGTCCAAGCCCCCCACCTTTCCCCTTCTGCCCTTTGCACTGAGTTCCTGGGGTAGCACCTGCCTGATCTTCCAGCTCACTAATTTGCTCCTCAAATGTCTCTTTCTGCTTTTCAGACCGTCTATTTTAAATCTCCACGATCTCTAATTAGTTCTTTTATATAAAAGCCCATTCTTGCTTCATGAATACAATAACTACATATCTCTTTAAGGATAGTAATTATACTTATTTTAGAGTCTCCTTCTGTTGATTTGATCAAACAGCTTCCTCAGGCATCGGCATTTCTGCCTCTTTCTTAGCCGTTCCAGGCTCACACATTTGGTCATGTGGGCAGAACGCCCAGCTCAATGGTTGAGTTTCACGATTTATCTGTCGGCCACTGTGGTACCTGTTTCTGCACTTTCAATGGAAGTTAGAGAGGTAGAACCAAGAGGTTCTGAGGTTTTACTTTATGGGGATTTTTAGCTACCAGAGGTCAACCTGGTCAAAACAATATTCAAGGGAAGATTCCAGAAATAAACATAAGCTGCAATGCCTTTAAATAAGAATATGATGTGAGTCATTGTTATCAGTATCTTCCTGCATTTGACTTATAAATTAAGCTTGATCCTAAGTACATGTGTCCACACAGGGCTCCCCAAGCATGTGCACAGGGGCTGCTGTGCATGCTTCTAGGTTGGATGGAGAGGAGTTGCTCTCTTTCCATTGAGATTGTTCTCTTTTCTTGAGTTCAGAAGCTACCTGATCACTGCTCTGCCATGATGGCCCCCCTGGGTCTCAGCCCGAGGTCAAGGGATACAATTAATAGCCAGGAACAACCAAGTAGCTAAGATGGTGGGCCAAAAGCAAAATCTGAGTGACTCTGACTACAAAACTCACACAGCTACTTTGTACCACTTTTTCCATTCACACCAAGACCACTGTCCACCCCACCCCATGGCCACTGTCTACCCCACCCCATGGCTACTGTCCACCCCACCCTATGGCCACTCTCCACCCCACCCCATGGCTACTGTCCACCCCACCCTATGGCCACTCTCCACCCCACCCCATGGCTACTGTCCACCCCATGGCCACTCTCCACCCCACCCCATGGCCACTCTCCACTCCACCCCATGGCCACTGTCCACCCCACTCCATGGCCACTGTCCACCCCACTCCATGGCCACTGTTCACCCCATGGCCACTGTTCACCCCACCCTATGGCCACTGTCTACCCCACCCCATGGGCACTACCCACTACTCTCTATGGCCACTGTCCACCCCACTTCATGGCCACTGTCCACCCCACTCCATGGCCACTGTCCACCCCACCCCATGGCCACTGTCCACCCCACTCCATGGCCACTGTTTACCCCATGGCCACTGTTCACCCTACCCTAGTGGACACTATCCACTACTCTCCATAGCCACTGTTCACCACAATCCACGGCCACTGTCCACTATTCTCCATGGCCACTCTCTTCCCCACCTCCTGGCTACTGTTCATCTCATGGTTGGTTGCCATGACTCTGTACCAGTTCCCATACCTTCGAGTATACTCTTTCCTCTGGTGTCTGCATGAATCTTACAGGAGTCTGATCTGCTGAAGACTTTTTGTGTAGTCTTGGTTGCTGAAGCCAACACCTCCCATAGGCAAGTTCTACCCCTGTGCTACATCCTTAGTGTAACACTAAAGATAGCCTCTCTCCATGGTGGCATAGCACTGGTGGGTCTTCTGGATCCTCCATTGGTTATTTGGGTTACACCTGGGCATTGAGGGAAACAATTGAATGTGTTTAACCACCAGAAACCAATTAAGATGACCAGAAATAAGACACAAGGCTCACACCCTTAAGCATGGTCCATGACCAGCCAGGAGAAGAGCTACATGGTGTCTGGTGAAGGAGCTGAGAGTTCTACAACTGAATCCACAGGCATCTGGAAAAGAGAGACACTGAGCCAGGCTTGAGTATCTGAAACCTCAAAGCCTACCCCCAGTGACACACTTCCTTCAACAAGGCCACACCTGCCTATGAGCCTATAGGGACCATTTTCATTCAAACTGCCACATTCCTTTTCCCCATTGCCCTTCAAGACACACCTCTGTCCAGTTTGGGGGTTAATAGCTGGTACTCCCTTCCATTCCAAGGAGAGTTCTGGAGAACAAAAAAAAAAAAAATGTTTTCAGTCAGGGGAGCAGTTGCACCGACAAGGATATGGATACTGGAAATTCTGTGAGGTGCGCCCTCCTCAAGACCAGGAGTTCTTAGCAATGAGCACATGGTGGCTTCAGCCATTCCTGGTACTAAAAGCTGTGATTCAAAGATTCTTCTCCCAATAGAACAGGCCTTTGCCATCAACACTCAACAGTGCCTATCCTAAGATATCCCATCCTTCCAGACACCGACAGGTCGTTACCCAGAAACATGTCCTCATCAGCACCCAGGCTTACACGTCTTCTCTCCACCGTGGAGCTCTTCCACCCTGGTCATTTAAAGCTGCCCTTTCCCTGTTGCCTTAGGCTGAGTCTCTCTTAACTTGATCAGCAGTGGGGAAATTGGATCAGGGCGTGCAGATCAAGGCCACTCCTGCTGCATGAATGTCAGAGGCCCCTAGGCTCACAGACCTGTTGTTTTCTAAAGCTTCATCTTTGACAAGCAGATGGCGAGCCTCAGAGTGCCTTATTGAATTTGTATTTATGGAAATGATGCGTCTGATTATCGCTGGAGGGAAACAGTCCAAGCCAGAAGCTAATGTGGCCCATCTATGAGGCTTAAATCTACTTACCTTTAGGAAGGCCATGTGCTCCATGGGGACAGTTGGATCTTCTGGCTGGTGCCAGAAGAGTCAGAGACTAAATGTTCTCCTTGGCCATGGCTTTGTGACCCTGGGGACTGTCCTCAATTGGGAGCTGAGATGCAGTTTGTATGTGTTGATGCTCTACCTATCCAAAGTGGACATGGAAAAGTCAGCAATAAAACAGTGATGGTCCCCTGAGCTTGTCCTGTGGTGGTTTGAGTGAGTCCCCAGTTGGTGGCACTGTTTGGGGAGGCTTAGGAGGTATGGACTTACTGGAGGAATATGTCACTGGGGAAAGCTTGAGAGTTTAAATCCTCAAACTATCTCTTCCTGGCTCTCTCTGATTCTTGCTTGTGGTTCAGAGATTTAGTCTGTTATCATCATAGCAGGGACCTCCACAGTGCATGCAGGCAGATGTGGTGCTGGAGAAGTAACTGAGGAAACAGATCTGGCCTGAAAGTTGCAGGCAAAGAAAGAAGGAAACTGGACCTGACATGGGCTTTTGAAACTTCAAAGCCCACCCTCAGTGGCACACTTCCTCCAGAAAGGTCACACCTCTGAATCCTTCCTAAAAAATTCTACCACTGGGGACCAAGCCTACAAACATAGGTGCCTATAAGGGACATTTTCATTCAAGCCATCATACCTGCTGTTTTCTGCCACATCTCTTATTCCTCTGGAACTGTAAGCCATCTTATAAGTTGCTCTTCATTTTATAAGTTGCTCATGGTGTTATCACAGTCACAGAAGAGTAACTGATATATCTCTTAATTTAAAATAAAAAATCATCTACTTGATCCACAATATCATTTCACACCATGAACCCAACAGTCAAAAAGTAGAAACAGGCAGGGGTGGCTCAGTTGGTAAAGGCTTGTCACTTGTGGTTTGTCAATTTGATACAACCTGGAATCACCTAGAAAGAGTGAGAGATTGTCTAGATTAGCTTGCCTGTGACATGTCTGTAGGGGATTGTCTTGATTTCCTTAGTTGACATGGGAAAACTGTCTTAGTTACTCTCTGTTGATATGAAGACACCACAACCAAGACAGCTTACAGAGGAAAGTTTGCTTGGGGTTCACAGTTTCAGTGAGTGTGTCCATAATCATCATGGCAGGGAGGATGGCAGCAAGCAGGCATGATGCTGAAGCAGTAGCTGAAAGTTTATACCTTGAGATACAACCATGAAGCAGGAAGAGATAGAGGAGATGGAGGAGAGAGAGAGAGAGAGAGAGAGAGAGAGAGAGAGAGAGAGAGAGAGGAGACTAACTGGGGATGGTTTTTGAAGCTGGCCCCCAGTGGCACACCTCCTCCAGTGAGGCCATGCCTCCTAATCCTTCCCAAACAGTGCTAGCAACTATTCAAATATATGAGCCTATGGGGACCATTTTCATTCAAAACCCTACAAAGACGGACCCTGAAAGTGAGTAACACCATTCCCTGGGTTGAGTCCTGCATTGTATAAGAGTGGAAAACTTGATCTGCTCCCGAGTGTGGTGTGATGTGACTAGCTGCTTCATGCTCTCACTGCCTTGAGTACCCACAGTGATGAATGTGGAATTGTGAGCTAAAACAAACACTTTCTCCCCTAAGTTGCTTTTTGTCAGGGCATTTTGTCACAGCAGCAGAAATGAAACTAGGATACTATGCAAGCAAGAGGAGATGGGCTTGATCCCCAGCACCAAAGTCAGGTATTGTGGGACACCAGTGACCCTGGTGCTGAGGAGGCAGAGACAGGAGGATCCCCTGGGCACACTGTTCAGCAAGCCTGGCCTACTTTTGAGTTCTACATTCAAGGAGGAAACTTGTCTAAACAACAAGGTAGAAAAATAATTGAGTAAAGACACTGGATATGAACATCTGGTGTCTACCTTCACAAGGGCCTGTGCACACACTCACACACACAAGTGTCCATCCACAGATGATGGATAAGCAATGTGCTGTCCACCCACACAGTGTTTAGTTTAAGCAGGGATGGTATTCTGACACCCATTGCAATATGGATGAACACTGAGAACACTGTGCTGTGGGAAATAGCCCAACACAGTACATACATGTGCTATGTTATTCCACTTATATGAAGTCCCTACAGTGATGGAAGTCATACAGAAAGAATAGAATGGAGAGGGGAGGGGAGAGACACTGCCAGGCCTCGGGAGGAGAAACAAAAGGTGATGTTTAAGGCAGATGGTGTACCAGTGTGGTGAAGAAAGATCCCTGGACACAAGATGAACTGTCCTGAAGTGTGTGTTTAACAGCATTGACAGCAGTAGCTCCTAGGAACGATGTTCCTGAGCTTCATGTTGTGATTCCAGGGGCACTGGCAGCTTTGTGACAGCAGAGACTGCTACCGTGATAGGGTCCTCAGCAAGCCGTATCCCAGCCTCTGCCCACGACTCATGGAGCCCCTCCCCCTGTGCACTTGTCACATGTGCTCCATTGCTACCCCTACCCTCGCACACACCTGTCACAATAGTTCCATCGATGCTCTGCAAGAGAAGAAGACCTACACAGGGAGGCCACAGCATTGGATCCTGCCTCCTTCTGCCTGTCCCAGGTACCTCCAGCAACACTCACTTCATTGTCAAGGGTCAAAGGTCAATTTTGCTTTTAGGTGACCAAGTGGGAAGCTGGAGGCTGCATCCTGCAGAGAACTTCTGTTTTCCTTAGATGAGGTTTCCCTAAGCAGATGTGGCCCAGCTAGTGGTGGTAGAGATTAGGACTGGTCACTTCTCAGACTTTGGGAACTGAATCTCTTCATATCAGCTTAAGCAAAATTGGGTGAGTTGAGGGTCCTGGAGCTGGGTGGCACCAGGTTGTGTCAACAGTGTCAAGTAGCAGTTAACAGCAGCTATCCATTGGTGTCATATGAGGTATTGTAGCCCTGATACAGACAGAGGTGGTAGGGCCCCAGAGATCAGGGCAGAGATCTGAGGGACAATCACTGGCCTGTACCTCAGGCTGTAGCTATCATCCACACTCTTTGGGGTCCTAGTAAAGTCATCAGCTCTTCGAGGTGCAGCTGAAACCAACAAGGCTCTCTTTCCTCCTCCTCCTCTTCCTTCTCTTCTTCCTCCTCCTCTTCCTCTTCTTCCTCCTCTTCCTCCTCCTTTTCCTCCTCCCTCACTTCCTTCCCCTCTTCCTCCCACCCTAGATGCAGAAACAACTGACCCTACCCAGTAGATGCTTTGCCCAGCCATAGACAGCACTTTACCATTTTCATGTGGCTTTGACCAGCAAGGAGAGCCACAGACAACACACAAGAACACTCAGCAAACACTTTGTCATCTAGGGAAGATCCAGGGCTGCAGATGGACCTAAGACAGAGAACAAGGAATTTGAAGGCACAGGTTATAACTGTGACAGCAGTCCTGAGCAGGTTCCTTCTGTGTGCCGAGCAAGTGTCCAGGACACCCTCACGCATTTCCCTCTCATGGGTCTGCTCCAGGGTCATCCCTGGTACCCACAGTTTCTGCGGGTGTCTGCCCACCCTCACTCCCCAGACTATCCTGCAGACAGGTACCTGACCATAAATGCCTGTAGCTTCTTTCACTGGGGAGGGTGAAGACTATCTGTGTGATAGTTTTGGGGTGCACTCCAGTCTTGTCATGTTGTCCTTGGGAAACTGCTCACAACCATACTGTTTGCTCATGTCTCAGCCTCTCTCTGTGCACGCTGGGGTTGTCTTTTACAAAACCATCCTTACCCAGTGTCCATTTCTAGCCTTACCTAACGGTGCTTGGTGCTGAGCACGCTGAGTGAGTTGGAAGGGGAACAAAGTCTGTGGTAATGGGGCCAAGTTGGAATACATACAACCCCTCCGGTCACTTCAGTGCACCCTCAGACATGCCATTCTGAGGGTCAGCAGGACAGGCTCGTCCTGGGCCTGAAGAGAGCTTGCCTCTTCCTCATCTAGAGGTTGTCACATTCCCTGGCTTGGGTCATCTTTCAGCACCAAACCAGCAATGTCTCTCCCCAGACCTCACTTCCATTGCCACACCCACGCTGACTCTGAGCCTCCTGTCCCCTATTCCAGGGCTTCCCTTCCTCTTCTGGGTTCACTGGGATGGCCTAGGACTATCTCTCACTTCAAGATCCTCAGCCTAGTCTGGAGAGTAGCATGAATGGTTCTCTCCTGGCCTTGGATCCCTGGCCATCCAGTCCCTGTGGAATTATTCCAGTATAGTTGCAATAGGGATATCCTTGTGAGATAGGCTTTGCCTCTTTAGATTGGCAGATTTGGGTCGGCAGTGGGTGAAAGAATACTGTCGAGTTGGTGATTACTGAGATAACTAAGCTGGTGACCTCCATGTGTTGTGTGGCCTCAAAAAGAGTGTTGTGTGTGGTATGTATGTGTGTGAGGGGATGTGTGTGGTATGTATCTATATGATATATATATGTGGTATGTGTGTGGCATGTGCGCTGTGTGCTGTGGTGTGTGTGTGTGTGGGTGTGTATGAGGTTGTGTGGGGTGGATGTATGTATGTGGTGTGTGGTATGTGGTAGTGGTGGGAGGCTGCCCACCCTTCACTCTCTCATTACTCAGAAGAGATGGAGCCTGAAGGAGACCATTAAGGGTGCAGGTCACTCACTCTTCTTCATGGTGACCTGCTCAGGTTCACATGGGGTTTCTAGACACCACCACTCCCCCCCACACAGAGGGCCTTGCTCGCAGATATGTATTCCTGGCCCTGCTTCTGGATCCTGCCATGGGCTCTAGCACTGTTGGAGTGGGCTCCTATGGTATCTATCCTGCAGATCCTTTCATGGCCACTGTTCCTGGTGCTGGACATCTCAAAGCACAGATGTCTCATGGGTCCATCCTGTTTCATCCTGGGCTTTGTCCCTGGGAGAACACGCCTCTTCAACCTTCAATCACAGTCTCTGTGCCTAGGCTGAGGGGACAGAAGCGAACTCCCCAAGGAAGACATGTTGCCTGTCACAAGCTTGATATTGATTTGTCCCAAGGAAGTCCCTAGGAGCTCAGCTTCAGTCTGGGAGTGTGTGGTTCTGTGGCCCTGCTGTGGAGCTTCCTGCCCTGACTAGTCTGCATCAGCTGTCCAGGCCAGCTTCTGTGCCCCCACTCTGGTAGCTGCACTGCTGGTTGTCACCATCCATGGTCAGGACGTAGCCACAGATGGCCTCACGTGGCAGAGCCAGTGGAGGGATTACAGCTCCCTACAGCCTCCAACATCAGAGAAATTCGGAATGCAAGGGGCTTATTAAAAGGCTGAAACTGATTCTAAATGAGGTCAGCCGTCATCGATGAGGCTTGGAGCAAAGCCAGGCACTTAGAAAGCACACCGAGTCTATTTCCTGACATGGTGACAGTGACATCCTGGATGCCACCCCCAGCCCACCCCCACCCTGGGAAGGCAGCTGACATAGTCAAACCCTAGCAGAGTCACCAGGGTGGGGGTGCAGTCAAAAGCAGGAGAGAAGGAAGGGCAACACCCCCTGTACTGGACCTCCCAAACACTACAAAGAGGTGTGTCCAGTCAGCTCTGTGTGTGTAGCGGTTCAGAGCACCTGGGTCAGAGACAGGACAACTGACCACTGTTCCCTCCTCAGGGTCAGATCACTCCTCTTCAAGATTAATAAGAGGAAGGGCAAATAATGATAACAATAATAGATAAAACTTACAAAACCAACACTGAAACATAAGGGCTGAGGAGATGGCATAGGCATTTAAAATGCTTGTCCACAAGCATGAGGATCTGAGTTCAAATCCCAGCACCCAGGCCTAGGTATGATGGCGCACTTTTAAATCCAACATACAGGAGGCAGAGGCAAGGCAGATAGATTTCTGTCAGTTCAAGGCCAGCCTGCTCTACATAGTGAAAATCTGTGTCAAAAATAATACATAAGCATATACATACATGCATATATATATATATATATATATATATATATATATGCATACATACACACACACACACACACACACGCACACACACATACATAGAAAGGCTAGCCCATGGGCCCTGCTGGATCTGCCTCAACATCTGGTATTTCTTCCAGGTTTTAGTTCTGGTCAGCACATCCTTATGACTCCCATGGGATTTTCCTGATCTTGGCTGTCAATGTACACTCCTAACCCTTATATTGCTAAGAGAACCATTTTGGGGCCCCCAAATGCTGTCCTGCCTATGCCCTACCCTGCTCTGCCACAGATGACTACATGACCCTAGGTACCCATGTGTCAGATGGGGACAACCATAGGCTGGTGTCTCAAAGCCAGCAAAACAGGCAGGCCTACTTCCCTCTCCTGGTAACTACCAAGACTGGGTAATTGTTACTTCTGAAGTTGGCTGAATCGCTTCTGCCAGTGTTCCAGCCCTGTTCCTAGCTGCAGAACGGGAGTGCTTTTTGAATCTGTTAAAAATAAACGTGTGTGTGTGTGTGTGTGTGTGTGTGTGTGTGTGTGTGTGTGTGTGACTCTGCTGTTTACTAAAATCTGTGCTTCTCCTCTGAGCTCGGAGCACAACTGTTGCTCTTATGCTGGATGCAGGAAAGCAACACTACTTGCTACAGTCAGGCTCCTGCCCAGCACCTCAACCCTTCTTAGGAGAGGACCTGGAGCCTTGCTGCTCCAGGTGGACCTAAGGTGAAAACCAGGCTGTGAGTTCCTGGCAGCGGGGACCCGGGTAGCCAACGGCCTGTGAGCATCATGCCTAAGTTTTATTGTGACTACTGTGATACATATCTTACCCACGATTCCCCGTCTGTGAGGAAGACACACTGCAGTGGTCGGAAACACAAAGAGAATGTGAAAGACTATTACCAGAAATGGATGGAAGAGCAGGCCCAGAGCCTGATTGACAAGACAACGGCTGCATTTCAACAAGGAAAGATCCGTCCGGCTCCCTTCTCTGCTCCTCCACCTGCAGGGGCCATGATCCCGCCTCCCCCCAGTCTCCCGGGTCCTCCTCGGCCTGGCATGATGCCTGCACCCCACATGGGAGGCCCTCCCATGATGCCAATGATGGGCCCCCCTCCTCCTGGGATGATGCCTGTGGGACCAGCTCCTGGAATGAGACCGCCCATGGGAGGCCACATGCCCATGATGCCCAGGCCTCCCATGATGAGACCCCCCGCCTGCCCGATGATGGTGCCCACACGGCCCGGCATGACCCGGCCAGACAGATAAGAGCAGAAGTGCTTGCTCTTCATCGTTTTGTATTGTGCTGTTTCACCAGGAGCTCTTGGTGCTGAGCCTGAGTGCTTACTAGACGCATGGCCAGGACCTTCCTTCCTAACAGAGAGGAAGAAGTGATACAAAAGGGGCTGTTTTCACTTACATTGTGAAACGTGAAAATAAAATGGTCAGCTGTTTTAGTTAAAAAAAAAAAAAAAAGAAAAAGAAAACCAGGCTGTGGCTAGCTAAGCCACACCCCACTGTGACTTTTGTCCTGTCTTGTGCAGAACAACATGCCCATTAGCCCTGGACATTCTGCCTATCAGCTTTCCAGGGCAAATCTGGGACTATCGGGAAATTTCACCTGTGTGCAGGACTGAGGTCCCTTTTCTTTTGTGGAACAGAGCTCAGTGAAGAATTGGCCTTGGTGGCCAGAGGCTCAGGCTGGGCTACTGTGTTTCTGAGAAGAAAGCAGGAGGAAAAAGAGAGAGAGAAGGAGTAACAACTAGGTTGGAGGGACCTATAGTCACAGCGAGGTACAGAGGTGGATGACTTTGGATACAAGCAGGAGACCAAGTAGAATTTCCTGGTGTTGAGGTATGGACAGTACCGGTTCTCATCATGAGACAGGCAGGGCTGAGCAACAGGAAGGTCAACCTGTGCAAAGGCCCTGTGACAGGTATGGGAGAAATAGCGCTGGGGGTGGCTGACCTGAGAAGCAAGAGGAAGCCCTGTGTTTGAGAACTTTAGTGAGATGGGAACAGGTGTGCCCCCCACCCTCCTTTTCCCTAAGGACCATGCCCACAGCCACGAGTGCTCATTCACCCACTTTCTGCCTGTTCTGTGCTGTCTCTGCACCCACTCCTTCTGTAGCAGCCGTGGTGCCAGCTGGAGCCCGTGGGGAAACAGGAGAAAAAGTGGGAACAGCAGGCCTCAGAGAGAGTGTCTAAACACGGACTATTTGGGGACTGTCTTTTATTTTTAGTTTAAAACTTACCCACCCTTCAGTATTGTAAAAACAGGAACAAGGAACCCACCACTCACTGTCACTTAGGAAAGAGCCCCTTGGAACTCAGTTGGAGCAGGTGGAGAGGACACAGAACCTGGCTGCCCAAAAGGCACTCAGCAGGGCCTGGCTGGAGGTGTACTTAGGACCTGTGTCTGTAGAGAGTAGCTGTTTCCAACAGGCGTCAGAGATTTGTCGTAGGACATCAGCCTTCCTGCTTCGATCTCCTGGTGATGTCCATGTGTCATTAATGCCAATTAGGGGAGGGTGAGAGCAAAGTGTTTGCCCTGGGGCACAGGCTGGTGGGAGGACCATCAGGACAATTGAATTCCCCACCAGACAAATGTGATTAGGTGCAGCCTGGCCCAACCCCACCGGACAGGCATAAATGGCCCGGTGGGGCTGGGTTGCTCACCCCAGCCATGCAGGCTCATCTCAGCCACCAGCCTTGCTGGAGCAGCCTCCCCAGCCCCAGCGCCCGTGAGGCGGCATCCATGTATGGCACTGCGGTGGCCATCTTCCTGGTCATCCTGGTGGCTGCGCTGCAAGGTTCAGAGCCTCCAGAGAGCCCCTTCCCCTACCACATCCCCTTGGACCCCGAAGGGATTCTAGAGCTTTCGTGGAACGTCAGCTATGTCCAGGAGATCATCCACTTCCAGCTCCAGGTACGAGGACTGAGGGCTGGGGTCCTGTTTGGAATGTCGGATCGAGGCGAGATGGAGAACGCAGACCTCGTCATGCTCTGGACTGATGGGGACAGGGCCTACTTTGCGGTGAGTCCTCTGCCACCTTTCTGTCTTGTCCTCACATCCATTCCCCCAGCTGGCTATCTTCACACAGCCATGCTCTACAGTCAACAAAGAAAGCTTGCCTACTGCTTCTATGTTTGATGCTGCTAATCTGATTTAAGCCCTTCAGCATCCTAAGGACACTCACTAGAGGATGGAACAGTAAATGGGCTTCCTGAAGTCCTTGAATGCACCCCCCAAATAATGGCTACAGCAATCCTAAGGATGGTAAGGGCATATGAAGGTCCTACGTGCCATGCAGCACCCCACCACTACCCCTGCCATGAGTACAGACCCTGCATATCCTCCAGTTTTACAAATAACAACTCCATGCCACACTACCAGTGCACCTATTGTGGGCCAGGTGGCATGTGGCTTAGTAGAGCAGGCAGCATGCACATCAGCCTGGAACACAGCACACACAGGCCTTCTGTGCTATACCCGATGATAGTGAAGGTAGACACAGGTACCACTGCAACCCAGGTGTGGGACAACCCCACCCTGACCACACAAGCTGAGCCCAGGCCAACAGAATACCTCCTTCTGTTCAAAATCTACCTGAACACCTGCATGCTACTGGAGCATCCTTCAGGGACCCCTGCAAGCCTTGGGGATCAGTAGAGGAAGGAGAGACACCCCGACACACATCTTCTGTGGCTCTACTCTTCCTATGCAGAGGGCCTGACCATCAGGGCCTATTTGGGATAGAATCTAACACTGCATCCACAAGAGAAGAGATAGTCAAAGATTTTCTTTATCAGATCAGAAGGTACCTTCTTCATACCAGCCTCAACTTTTTGTGTTAATCCTCCTGCCTCAGCTTCCCCAGTGTTGGAGTTATAGGTGTGAGCCACTAAACCTGACTAGGAGATGCTTTCTTGAGCTGAGCATGGCAGCCACTCTCCCTGTTTCACAGCAAGGGCAGTCATTTGCTCAGAACTGTCAGGCAGGGTGACAGAACAGGGCTGGCTGTACAGTGGCTCTGGAGTCACAGTCTGTCTGGTGGGGGTGTGGGAGACAGAAGAGCCTTGTTGGGCCCCAGAGGGATTGCCGTTCCTCCCCCCCACCCCTTCCTGGTTTTCCAGCAGCAGCTTCCATGCTGAGGGGGCCTTTCCCACCCCTGCCAGGTTTGTTTGCACAATGAACTCCTTTGAACACAGACATCAGAAATGGAGCTCCTTGGGCAGCAGTATGCTCAGGTACACATTGTAGATTCCCAGCAGCATTGCCAGCTGCCTGGCTGGCCCTGCTGTTAAGTCAGCAGGGTCCTCAGCAGGAAATTCACGAGGAGGCTGTCCCCAGGGGAATTTCACTAAGTTCTTGCAGACTTTGCTTTCCTAAGCAGCAATAGCTCTGGAGGTAGGACTGAATAGAAGCAGCCCCAACAGTCCTACAGCAGAGGCCTATGATGCTCATGAACTCAGAGGGAGCCCCACTTGCTGGATGCCACCCCACAGCCTGCTTCCCTTACCCTGGCCTGGAGCCCTGCAGGTGAAGGCAGGGAGACCCCTCTCCAGGCAAGGCTAGCACTAGAGTAAGTGATTCTTACTTACAGTATTTAAGGCAGCTTTTGCTCTCGATCTTATGCAAGCATGGGGCACATACCTGGATGAGTAAGTGCCACCTTAAATGCTGCCCTGCCTTTCCCCACTCCGGCCCCATCATCATCAGTCTAGGTCCAAAGCTCTAGTCTCAACTAATCCTGGTGTGCAGTCCTGTCAGGAGCCGTGGCCGCCTTAACAATGCAGTAAAGTTCTCCAGGTCTCACTCTAAGCCTTGAGAATCTGTATGGCTAACTCTCTGGAAATCTCAGATACCCAGCTAAGTGTGGCAGGCTAGAGGAAGCTGGATGAGAGTGTACCTTCAGGTAGGACGGGTAACAGAAGGCGATATGGGAGTCTAGAAAACTTGGTTCAAGGGAGGCCTGTTCCCCTTACATACACCGGGCCCTGGGTTTGATCCCAACATTGAAAAAGAACAGAGACATATAAAATCCAACAGGAGAGCCAGTCAACAGCTTTCTCGCCCTGCTGCTGGGTGTTCCTGTGGAGCTGGTGACCCACTAGGGGTAGTGGATGTGATCTCTAGGAGAGAAATGTGTTCTACTGTGGATGGGGGCTCCTTCTTGCTCAGACCCTGTACCTGTCTCTGCAGGATGCCTGGAGTGACCAGAAAGGGCAGATCCATCGGGATGCCCAGCAGGACTACCAGCTGCTCCGGGCACAGAGGACTCCAAATGGCTTATTCCTGCTCTTCAAGAGGCCCTTTGTCACCTGTGACCCCAAGGATTATGTTATTGAGGTAGGCTGCCCAGTGCTCTGAATTCAGTTTTCCTGAAGCATCTCAGCTTCCTAAAGTATCAGGCCAAGGCATTCCCATTCCCTCCATGGGAAGCTGAGGTAGAGCTCACACACATGGGAGAGCCACTCACACATGAGAGATAGCCACTTGACAGATGGAAGCTGTTTTGGGAGTCTCTAGCTCTCTAGCAGCATAAGGCTCCAAAAAACTCCCTGCAGACATGTAGCCAGTGTTCTTTCCAGATGTGATTGTTGCTTGGGACCCTCTTGCCCTGGGATGTATATCTACCCTGCTCCCATCAGCCTGTCTGCACGAAGACCAGCGCACCTGGCTTTCTATCCTGTTCAGTTGCTGACTTGCTTTGAGGTGGAGGGCTGGTCCTTTTCTCCTCCAAACCTCAACCTACTCGTCTACAAAATAAGGCTGGAGCTACTGAATTCCCAATATAAAAGGTCTGTGGTGTACTTCGTGGTTGTAACATAATTCCAAAGTTCTTAGCCACTCCTATTAGGAAAAGCCAGTCCATCTTGCCCCTGATGGAACCCTTGCATTCTGTTCCCTTAGTTAATCTTTCCAAATGGTAGGGACAGGGGCTGGCAGTTTGTGGTGGTGGCTGAGAGACAGAGTAGAGATGTTATTGCCATGGGATGAAACTTATTTACTCACGGTCCCCCAGGAGGGGCCGCCACAGCATTTAGGAAGCACCAGGCACAGTCACTAGGTAGAACTGAGAGCTTTGCAATGAGCTTTGTTGGGCTTATAGGGCAAAGGAGGGGCCTGGGAAGCAGCAGGCGGGATAATTCTGACTCTTCTGTGCTTTAGGGTACTCTCTGCTTACCAGTTCTGACTCTGAGACAGTTTAGGGCAAGGGAGATGGTGGCTTGGAGTGGAAAGTTATACAAAAAGGTGGGTAGTGATTTGGGCTCAGCTAGACTACAGGATTTGGAAGGTGCGCTACATTCATTCTAAGAATGGATCTCAGGGAAGGGGTAAACGACTGGTCATTTGCTTAGATCTGTGATTGATATTAATCAGATGTCAAACAGATAAATCTAGATTCCAAGAAAACAAATGAGGAATTTTGGCCAAAGAGGGGATAGAATAACCCAGGAGCTCGTGACACAAAGACACTCGGTCAGAGCCATTGGAAATGGTCATCTAAGTCCCCCCTCCAACCCCCGTAGGCAATGCAAGAGCAGTCGTAGTACAGAATGTACCATAGGGCAGGCCAGTGTTTGCATGTCCTGGGGCCAGAGGCTTCTGCATAGAACTTGCAGGATGTTTTTCCCAAGAGCAGCCATTACCAACCAGAGCACACTAGTTGTCTACCATGAATGTACATCCTTGGGTACCCACCCAGGAAGAGGCTGCTGGTATTTCCAGCAAAGTATTCACCCAGAGCTGTCGGCCTCTGTCCATAGCACCCTGTGAGGAAACCAGCCCATCTCTGTGGTCTAGCTGGGCCCTCATCACAGCAATGGTCTGTAGACTTTTACATGTCCAGCTCCTGGGGGTTGGAGGAAACTCAATCACACAGCTCCCTGTCAAACTCGGGACTCCCCAGATTGGTTTCCTGGCTCCCTAGGTGGTCACTGACTCCTCAGTTGTGAACCAATCAATACCTTTCCCCTGTCCCCAGTGACCTTTGGATTCATAGAGGAAGTAAGAGTCCCAGCCTGCCTTATAGAAGAGCCCAACGGTTGGATACATGAATGGATACTAAGCAAATTCAGAGTGTGTGAGAAAGAAAAAAAAGTGTTTAACAGGTGGGGACAGGATTTCAGAAGCAGCATCGGGCCAGGCAGGGATTCACGGTCTTCTCATCTGCTAAGCTGACAGTGAGGAGCTTTACCTGGTAGGAGTGGATGGGCAGGGGACATGGTTCTCTTCACTCACCATTGAACCTATGCTGACTCTAAGTGGGCAATCAACTGGTTTTGTCTGGGCTGCAGGATGACACTGTCCATCTAGTGTATGGTATCCTGGAAGAGCCATTCCAGTCGCTGGAGGCCATCAACATCTCAGGCCTGCATACAGGGCTGCAGCGGGTGCAGCTTCTGAAGTCTGAGGTCCCTACTCCGGCCATGCCTGAGGATGTACAAACCATGGATATCCGGGCTCCTGATGTCCTCATCCCTGACAATGAGACCACATACTGGTGCTATATCACTGAGCTACCGCCGCACTTCCCCCGGCACCACATCATCATGGTAAATGGGGGTCCATCTCCGCTTTCCACCCTGGGCCCAGAGTTGCATGAATCTGAGGTGATAGCCTGACTCCCTTAGAAGTAGCACATATGTACTAGTCCCTCGTGACCCCCCCCATCCCCCTACTCACCATCTGCCTCAGGACCCCTATACCCCTATATTCCTGTCCCACCTGGAGCAAATCAAAATATATACATACATACATACATACATACATATATATGTATGTATGTATGTATGTATATATATATATATATATTTCTGCAATTGCCCTTGAGGTTAAAACAGCTGTCAATCTTTCTGACTACCTCGTCTCATGTAAAAGTAGCTCAATTCAATTACTCCAAAGCTGTAAGTAGGAACTTCATCATAGAAGTCCCAAATACTGTCCCTCTTTCAGAAGAGGAAGAATAACCCAGAAAGGTCATGCGAATGCCCAGGGTCACACAGCAAAGCGTAGCCTGGTTGTATATCTGTCCTTGAGGCCCAGGCTCTAGACTGGAGTCCACTTTGCCTTCCAATGGAGCTTCAGGGGCTTAGAGTCACCCATAAGTACAAGAACAGTCTTCCTAGTGCCATCCTATCAGGAATCATGAGTGTAGGTCTCTGCTTTCTTCCCCAGAGCTCTTTGCCAGTTCTGTTACCTCCTGGCTCTGAACTGGAAACACTGAAATACCTGAAGTTGCTTTACTTGCTTCTCAGTTATAGCTGAGCAGCTAAGAACCAGCTGGTCCAGCCAAGTGGGAGGGTTAGGCAGGTACAAGGCTCCCAGTTCAGGGTGGTCTATTTCTCTGCAGTATGAGGCCATTGTCACTGAGGGCAATGAGGCCCTGGTGCATCACATGGAGGTCTTCCAATGTGCAGCTGAGTCTGAGGACTTCCCTAAGTTCAACGGACCGTGTGACTCCAAAATGAAACCTGACCGACTCAACTACTGTCGCCATGTGTTGGCGGCATGGGCCCTGGGTGCCAAGGTATTCATATATTGCTATATGCCTGTTCTAGTTTCTTTTCTGGTGTTGTGATAAATACCACAGCCAAAGTCAATTTGGGGCAAGAAAGGATTTCCTTGGCATACATTTCCTGGTCACAGTCCACCACTGAGGGAACTCAAGGTGGGGACTGAGGGCAAGCCTGCTCGATGTACTGCATCACCTCTGACCAAGGAACTCATAACCAAGGAAGAACAGCAGGAAACATGGAGGACGCTGTTTACTAGTTGGTTTGCAGGCCATCTTATACTCAGATAGTGTTTTTATACAGCCCAGAGAATGGTACTACTCACAGCGGCCTTGGCCCTCTTAAGTCAGTTAAGAATCAAGACAAACCTCATAGATGAGCCTACAGGCCAATCTGACAGAGGTTAACTCCACAGCTGAGGTTGTCTCTGATGAGTCTAGGCTTTGTCAACTCGAAAGTTTAAAGTTAGTAAGGACACTATTGCAACATCCCTAGGCCTCCTTTGGAATCCTCGGGATTTTAACTCCCTGCACCAGACTCCACAAAGCTACATCTTAAAATGTCCCAAGAGAGATCTGAGAAGGAGGCGTGGCAGGCACCAGCAGAGTGCAGGTTCCAAGCAGCCTCAGTCACCTCTAGGATGCTTGTGCTTCTGTTCTTGGGGGCCACAAAAGCGTCTTGCAGTCTTCTATGACAAATGCACATGATCATGAGTGTGCACCTCTCAGCACTGGATCAGCACCTGCAGGGATCTGGGTGCTGTGCACAGCATGATCCCAGGGCTGCCTGTGGTCGGGCAAGTTGTCAACAGACCATGCCCAAGAGTCTTATCAAGCATTGTCTAGGTTCCCAGGCCAGAGGATGTCGAGGGCAGGACTGGAAGGCCTGGGAGGGAGGCTCAGCTCAGGTTCAGTACCAATAGGACCTTCCATGTGTGACAAGGTCTACTTAGCCTCAGAAGAGAATCCTTCTAACCCAGGCACTTGCTGAGCTTCCACTCAGGCCCCAGCTGCTAGCCAGGTTTGTCCTAGAGTCCCAAAGGACCCCTGTCTAATACTCCTGTCCCACACAGGCATTTTACTACCCAGAAGAAGCTGGTGTTGCCTTTGGGGGCCCGGAGTCCTCCCGGTTTCTCCGACTGGAAGTTCATTACCACAATCCACGGAAGATACAAGGTACAAGTGTGGAGAGCACATCTCCCGACCCTGCTTCAGTCAGTCACTCAGATGCTTGGGTGCAGCCTGTCGAGGCACAGAGGAAAAAGGACGTATGTGCATGCCAGAGACAACACAGGCCTTTGCTCTTTATCTACTTTATTGTAGTCAGCATCCTAAATGAGTTCCCAACCTGGGGTTCTGGTGCTCCCCTCAAGCTAGTGCTGTAATTGATTAGTGATGTCTGCCATGGACCTTGGGGCAGGGCTTGGTGCTGTGCTGTTAAGCATCTGAACACTCAGTGAAGAGAGAGCCTCCCGAGTCCCATGAGGTAGCCAAGATGTCATCTACTTCCTCCAAGGGCACCACAGCAGGCCTTAGATCCAGAAGGCCAAGGACCGTGCCTGCAGCTAGCCAGCCAGGCACTGAGTGCTCTGGAAAGTTCTTTTCCCAGCTTGTGTCATGTGTTTAGATGGACCAAGCTGTCCAGTTAGCTCAGAAATGCCCAGGTCAGGGCTATACCTGCTCACCTGGTTCTGTTCCCCCACCTGGCACAGAGCTGGAGAAAAGCAGTGGGTGGCTGGGCCTGAGAATACTGTGTTAGGGAAAAGAATCTCAAGGGAAATAAGACATATCCATGCTGCAAAAAACTTCTAGAAGAGAGACAAGAGGGGTGTGTGTGTGTGTGTGTGTGGTGTGTGTGTGAGAGAGAGACAGAGAGACAGAGAGACAGAGAGAGAGGTGATTGATTCCAATTCTATGGTACCATTTAGTACAGTTCTTGCAAGCTTAGCACAATCTCAGGAAGTCAGGAAGTCACCATTGTGGCTGGATCACCCTGTGCCTGAAGGTGAACAACCTGAGAGGGGTCATTTAGGGGATTGGCAGAGGACACCACATCAGAAACTAAATATTTCCTTGCTCTTGTACCCCATTTTACATCAAACGTCTCCCCTTTCCTTTCTCTCCCCAGCCTCCTTTCACTTCTTCCCCCCTTCCTTTGAACAACACGAATCTTCAACTATGCAAATGAGGAGTAGAGAGATCCTGTAGACATGGGGGGTGCCCACAGTGAGCCTGAAGCAGCTCCTGCACCCAGCTCCCCTCTGGATGTGGAACTGGCAATGCAGACTTAATGTCTTAGGCGACTTTCCCCTTGGCTACAGCAATGCCTCCACCATGAGAATTATCTATAGCAGGCAGGAGAAGGCGAGAGGCAGCTGTGGCTGGAGCACCCATTGGGGATTTATTGCTCATTTAAAAACCTGAGAGCAAATGGATTTTTGAAAACTCCTTGGTGTCAAGGAAGTCTGTCTTCCTTAATCGTCTGCATGTATTTATGGATCCTTTGCCAAACATAAGGGTGCTCCTGTCAGTTGGTGAATTTTGAGATGGGCTACTTTTCTATTAATATCAAAATCCATGATTATCTCATTATTTAATCCCCATCTAAATTTCAACCAATTGCCGCTTCCTTTTATTATTTGCCTCTGATGTCATCTGCCTAGAGACACAAGGGGCTGTTTGAGTTTGAATGTTTTTGGCTGTGGGGTGGAGAGGTAGTGACAGTACAATAAGAAGTACCCTCAGTTGATAGCAGAAGAGAACAAGGGCCTGCCGGCTACAGCCTGCATCCCAGCCTGCTGGTCCTGGGTTTGAGGCCAAGTTCAGATGCTTCCTGGACCCTTGGTCTTACGCAGAGTCTTTCATTCACCCTCCAGCCTCAGTTTCTCCATCTGTAAATGGAACAGTGGTCCTTCCCATGAAAAAGCCCATAGAGGTGATGGGCGCGCTAAGAGCAGTTTCTGACTCTTCAATCAGAAAGGATGACTAAGCACATGGTTCCCCAAGGGGTACCTCAGGGGCTGCTGCTTACCACATGCCTCTCCCTCAGGCCGACATGACTCCTCTGGCATCCGCCTACACTACACAGCTACTATGCGACCCTATGATGCAGGCATCATGGAGCTTGGACTGGTGTACACACCCTTGATGGCCATCCCCCCTCAGGAGACTGCATTTGTCTTGACCGGCTACTGCACAGACAAGTGTACCCAGATGGTGAGTGGACAGGGTCCTACACACAACCTACTCCTTGATGACCAGGGGAGAGCAGCAAGAGGACTTTGGACCCCTGACCCAGAATCAAGGTTGTCTGAGTCTCTGCACCCCTATCTTCAGCAAGAACTGTTCCATGCCTGTGCACCCACTCTTCTGAAATATGTCACTTTAAAAATGTTGATTTATGTGTTTGATTATATGCTTCTCTCTTCCCCTTCTCTGTCTCTGTCTCTCTGTCTCTGTCTGTCTCTGTCTCTCTTCCCCTTCTCTGTCTCTATCTCTGTCTCTGTCTGTCTCTCTTGCTCCCTCTCTCTCTCTCTCTCTCTCTCTCTCTCTCTCTCTCCCTTTCCCTCCCTCCCTCCCTCCCTCCCTTCCTTTCTCCTTCCCTCCCTCCCTCCCTTCCTCTCTCTTTCTCCCTTCCCTTCCTTCCTCTCACTCCTTCTCTCTCTCCCTCCCTCCCTTCTTTTCCCCCTCCCTCCCTTCCTTTCTCCCTCCTTCTCTCTCTCCCTCCCCTCCCACCTCCTCTCTCTCTTTCTCTCTGTATGTAACTTATAGGTAAGTCAAAATTTACACACACCACTTTATGATAAAAGAGTCTCTGACAACAAGTAATACAATTGACATGCAAATACAAAAAGTCAATTTATATACAATATGTCACTGGTCTGACAAAGTTATAGAATGTCTTTCTGCCCAACTCCAAATTCCTGAATTCACAATAAAACGAGGAAAGCATACCAATAACTGTAGGGAGTAGTAATAAAAAAATAACAAATAGGCCATTGTGAATATATAAAGAAAAAATACATCAAGAGCATCTTTCTGGATAAAAACATGCCAGGCAAACATATACATTGAGCACAAAATTATGCTTATCCTAAAGATAGACTCTAAGAGAAAGGGTCTGCCAGTATTGAATCATTTGATATTTGGGGAAGAGCTATCATCCAAATGTATGCATGATACATTTAAAAAAACCTTTTTAAAAAAATAAATGGTTATTTTATTTATTTACATTTCAAAGGTTATCCCCCCTTCCTGTTTTCCCCTCTGAAAACCCCCTATCAAGCCAATAGGGGTTACCTGCCGCCACCCCCAAAACTGTATATATTGGCCAAGCTCAAAAGTAAATGTG